CAGATATGCTAAACATTTATATGCCCCTTCATGCTTCGACCACCATTCCAGAGGACATGCTTCCATGCTGATGATGCTCGTTTAAAAAAAGAGCTAATTAAATTTGTGACTGGACTTCTTGGAGAAGAATTGCATGTCTCCTGCTGTTTTACCCACATACTGCCATATATTTCATGTTATAGCAGTCTCGGATGATGATCCGGCACGTTGCTCATTTTAAGAACACTTTCAGTGCAGATTTGACAAAACACAAAGAAGGTACCAATGTGAGATTTCTAAAGATAGCTACTGCACTCAACCCAAGGTTTAAGAATCTGAAGTGCCTTCCAAAATCTGAGAGGGATGAGGTGTGGAACACGGTTTCAGAAGAATTAAAAGAGCAACATTCCGATGTGGAATGTACAGAACTTGAACCACCAAAAAAGAAAATCAGCCTTCTTCTGCTGGTGACATCTGACTCAGATAATGAAAATGAACATGCATCAGTCCACACCCCTTTGGATCGTTATTGAGCAGAATCCATTATCAGCATGGACACATATCCTCTGGAATGGTGGTTGAAACATGAAGGGACATATGAATCTTTACTGCATCTGGCACATAAATATCTTGCGATGCCGGCTACAATAGTGCCATGCAAACACCTGTTCTCTCTTTCAGGTGTAAACAAGAAGTGGGTAGCATTATCTCCTGCAAATGTAAACAAACTTGTTTGAGTGACTGGCTGAACAAGAAGTAGGACTGAGTGGATTTGTAGGCTCTTAAGTTTTACACTGTTTTGAGTGCAGTTATTTTTTGTATATAATTCTACATTTGTAAGTTCAACTTTCATGATAAAGAGATTTCACTTAATACAAGTACTGTAATGCATCAAAAAATACTTTCTTTTGTTTTATTTACAGTGCAAATATTTGTAATAAAAAAATAATATAGGTGTAGTAGGTCCTAGCCGGGGCTCGACCCTTCCGGGCAGGAGGGGAGCCACACCGACTCCCTACTATGGGAACAAGCAGTCAGTTAGTCCCGAAACTCCGGCTCTTTGGTGCAGAGTCGGAGCAACCACAGTTAAAGCTCAGGCCCTTGACTGCAGGGAGCTGAGCGGGCAAATAGTTCAAAGCCCAGGCCCTGGATCAGGGCAGGGCAAACACAGTTAGCTCAGGCCCTTGGTTGCAGGGGCTGAGCAAGCAGACAGTTCAGAGCCCAGGCCCTGGGTCAGGGCGGGGCAGACACAGTTAGCTCAGGCCCTTGTTTGCAGGGAGCTGAGTCAGCAAGCAGTTTAAAGCCCAGGCCCTGGATCAGGGCGGGGCAAACACAGGTAGCTCAGGCCCTTGTTTGCAGGGAGCTGAGCGAGCAAATAGTTCAAAGCCCAGGCCCTGGATCAGGGCAGGGCAAACACAGTTAGCTCAGGCCCTTGTGGCAGGGGCTGAGCGAGCAAATAGTTCAAATAAGGTACGCCTAGGCTTTCTGTAGCCGAGCGTTGGGTGAGGGGGAAGCCTGCCACCCGTGCGGAGGGTGGCAGGGGGGAACGCAGGCCCACCCACTCCACTGCGTTCCAGCCCGGGGCCCTAACAGCGGTTGCTGCCGCTACTGGTCAGTGGGGTATCCAGACCGCAACACACTGACATAGGCTCACACTCAGTTGCAGCCGGACCGGGGTCGGCTACCCCCGGGCTACTTCCGTGATCCCCCTCAAAGCCTACCTCGTTCGTAGCGCCGGGATCGGGCCAGTCCACCTGCATGGGCTCCTCTCTGCCCGGGCTCGGCGGCAAGTCTGGTAGCTCTGCTGGGAAGTCCGGCCAATGGTCCTCAGGCGGCTCCTCTGGATAGCAGCAGGGGCGAAGGGGTTCGGGTCCAGTCTCACCCTCAGGGTTAGTGGGGTGCGGTTCCCAGGGATTCTCCCAGTAGCGGGCGTGAACGGGCTCCGGCTGCTCCTCCTCGTAGCGGGCCCGGGGTAGCTCGGGCCAGCTAGGGTCCAGGCCTTGGTCTTCTACGGTCTCCTGGCCGGGAGCTCCCAGCCGCACGTCTGCTCCCTGTGGTGGCTGGCCGCAGACTGAGCTCTGGCGGCCGGCCTTTATACTTCCTGTCCCGCCCCTTGACTTCCGGGGGGGCGGGGACAGGCGGTGGTGGTCCCGCCCACTCTGGTGCCTGCACGTGGGCTCCCTCTTCTGGGCAGGAGGGGAGCCACACCGACTCACTACAATAGGTAACACTGTTCACTTTGTATTCTGTGTTGTAATTGAAATCAATATATTTGAAAATGTAGAAAATATCCAAAACTATTTAAATAAATGATATTCTATTATTGTTTAAAAAAATTAATTGCAACTAATTGCACTGTTAATCACACAATTAATTTTTAATTGCTTGACAGCCCTAATTGCAATCTTTATTCTTTCTGTTCTGCTTGTGAAGTGCAGTTTATTACTTCTACCATAAATGCTACAAATTTCTCTCTCTTCAAGAAATATATCTTTCTCTATTTCTCATATTATATTGCATATCTTTTGTGACATTATGTTGTAGTAAAGGTACCTTCCCTTGCTGGTTTTCTCCTCCTTCCTCAATTGTGTCTTTAAATACTTTTTAGCAGCTTTTAGCTTCTGTGTAAGTCAAGATATCTTGTTGATAATTCTTGTTCTTCGTAACTCCCTAGCCTGTTTAGGTACCATATATCCTCCATACACTGTACTGTGTTATTCCCACAGTTGATACATTTTAGCTCTGCTCTTCCTACAGTTTTCATATGAATTCTCCCCTCCACATTTACCACCACACCTTGTTTTACCTCTACCACATTTGTCCATATCCAAACTTTTGACACTCCTAAAAATCTCAAAGGGGGGTGGAATACATGGTTTAGCCCAAAACATCTGATATCCTAGCTTTATCCTGCCATGTAAAGTCCTTGCTTTACATGTTATTTTCACAGCTGTGGATAGTTTACCCCCAGCAACAAATTAATTGCTTATTGAATAACACCTGGTCCCCATCTATAGTTTTAATTTCATCTTCAGTCATTTCCAGTGGGACATATATTATATTACTCTTCTCGTTTCCATCATGCATTTGGGTGGCTGGCAATCTACTTTCATTTTTCTTAGAATTTTAGTGTTCAGCAGTTTTTCAACCAGTTCTTTACTGGCACACTGCACCAACAAATCTCCACCCTGTAATCTTCTAGCTCTTAATATAGCCCCACTACTTCTCCTCATCAATTCAACTAACTTCAAGGGATTAGTCACCTATCTTTAATTCCTTATTAGTGATTTGGCACTGGCAACATTGTGGTTTCCCACCCTACTCTTTGTTCCTGCTGCTTCTTCAGATGTATCTGTTCTCGTCTTCTAATTTGCATCCATTCTCATTCCTAGTTTCTTCTCCCTCACATTCTAGTGATTTCTGTGCTATTAATCCTGCTTTTCCCATCTCCAGGGCACAGCCTCTCTCTACCCACCTACCAGCCCAGCCCAGGGCCAGGGCCAGACCAGGATAAGTCTGCCTGGAAGACCGTCAAGGAGGCAACCAGATAACTTTCTGTGCCCCCTTTGGGCTTAAATAGTGATTTGAGCCAATCTGAGAGGCTGAACATTTCCTCCCATCAGGACTGTGGCAGGATCCACTCACTCCTGCCTCTGCTTGAGTCCTCTGCAGTTTGTTTACAATGTTGGCTTCCACCACCCTTATGCACCATACAGCCATACGCCTACAGTCATAGGGAGCCCTCAGCTCCTGAGGCAAGCAAGGAAGAGCAATCCCTCTCACTGCCTGCTTCTCCCCTCCTACTTCCTTCCTGTGCTCTTTTGTATCCTCGGCCTAATGACTTAATTAGCCTTCCAGCTCCCCTCCACCCAGCAATTAGGCACAGCTCCTCTTAACGAGGTTTATTCTGCAGTCTTTAATTGGAGCTGCAGTGACCAGACTGCTGGCTCAGATGGCCCAGCACTCTGTCACAAAGACCTTCACGGGCCATGTCTCTGGTAAGCTAGGCTCCACCAGCCCATGCTGCCTGCTGGTCCCAGTGAGCTACTTGGGTGGTGGTCCAGTCTGAGGACTGCCTGGGGACTAAGCTTCAAGACCCAGATTCAAATCTCCACTTCCCTGACTTGTAGCAGGGATGTGAACCAAAGTCTCCCTCAACCCAGTGAATACTATAGCCACCAGGTTACAAAGTTACTCTCACTTTCAATTAATATTTAATTTCTACAAAGTGGAACAGCTCTACTAGGAAAGACAGACACCCACCCCAGAATACCCAATAGCCTAGCTTGTGGGAGTTACATTGTGTGTGACTTAATGAAAGCCACAACGACACCCACTGTTCTGAGCTGCTTATACAGGATGCTCATCTTCCAAGCAAAGTTTAGGTACTAAACACTATGGCCAGTTTAACTGATACCACAAATAAGCACATTTAAAGTCTACAGATGCAGTTCTTCTCTCATCAACTCCTACCGCACTGGTGTGCTCATCAAACTGGTTTCAAAGATGCTTTAGAAAGGGGGTTTCGCATTAACACTTTTATCGGTGATCACTGTTAAAATGTCATAATTGAGAAAGGATTTGGGTGTCTCATTCCTGTCCCCATCACAAAGCCATCATGCAGTTTATTCTAGTTAGCAGTGTCTGCTCAAAAAGAAACCCAGAACTACATTAAAGGATATTATAGATCCAGATTGGGGGGGCAAGGAATGGTATATAGGGGGTCTGCAGGTCAGGACTGAAGTGTACTGGCAAAGCTGTGTCTGTGTATAACCTTACAGAACTATCACCTGTGGTAAATGGTTCAAGACAAAGCCTCCTACTTTCATAAGCACTAAACTCATTCCAATTTTTTTTTTTTTTAAACCATGTCAGGTCACACACAACACAACACATGCTAAAGGTGAAAGCAGTAATACAGGAAGACCTTCCTGGTGCAACAACAGAGGGAGCAATTCTCTATTATTTCTTCCCCTTCTAGGGCTGCTGTGGGTTGGGGAACTCAAGAAAGTGGTATCTCATTCCATCTGAAATTTTTTTAATAGTTATAAAATGTATTCATTTTTCACATTTTGTACAAAATAGGAGTTGGTTTCTTTTAATTAGGAGAATCAGCTGAATGTGAGATTTTAACTAGGTGAGTCTGAAAACAAAATGAGACTGGGTTCTCCTGGTTCTGGAAGGTCCCTCACAGCTTGCCCCATGTCTCTTCAGCTTTGCTCTCATGATTGTAGAACAACTTCAGGAGAAGTATCCTTGCATCATTGGCTCTTTGGAGGCTTGTAGTGAATTCTGCAGCGCTCATTAAATACCTAGGAGACCAAAATAAAAAGGGAGTCATTCCTTGTAATAAACATCCTCCACACAACAGAAGCTGGAGCCAGAACTGGCAATTCTCCCTTTCTACAGTGCACATGTCAAAACTATGACTGACGACTGACCTTGCAGCATTAATGACCATTACCACTCTCGGAGATCCTTGGCCTATTCACCTTCCCTGCAGGTCAGTATTCTAATACTTGCAGCCTGGTGCAAAGAGACTGCATAGTACTAGAGGTGCTCACTTTTACATGAGACAAAATTAAGATCCTAACCATTTGTGGTCACTAACCTGTGGTTTCACAAAGGAAAAGCTCTGGCATACTACATTCAGTCAGTCTAAATTCACTTTGGTATTTTAACTGAATACAACTATTTACTTTCTGAGCTAATCTGTTGTGTTGTATCACTGTGCTGCTCAACAGATGCCATGTTGCACATCAGAAGGGGAGCATTACAGTGGAGGGTGAAAAGCAAACTACATTTATGGGTCACACCAGTCTGTAAAAGCTTTGTAGAGTTATTGTATACAGTTTGCAATCAATTCAATGTTTTTGGATAAAAATAATTTTTACTACTTCGTTACAGTCTGCCCTTCAGCAGCACATACTAGCACCTGCAGCACTCACCTTCAGCAACATGCTTAGGTAGAATCTGGTAAATAAAACTAGTAACCTCGATGACCTTCATTTCTCCTAATTGAAGGACTCATACAAGAAATTAACAATTGGAGCTCATTGGGATAAGCAACTACAGAAATCAATTTAAGTTGGCTTGAAATAAAACACTCAATCAGAAATAATGCTTATGCACCAAAATAACTAAAGAGACAACTTAAAACTGGTTTAGTTATTTCGTTACCAGTTTGTGTGCAGACAAGCCCTGAAAAATGGCAAGAGCACCACCTAGAATCAAGGTGGGGTGCTGGCTCAGTATTGATTCAGACTCAAATACCTCTTCCTGCAATAATATGGTTTATCATGGAGATTTCTTAAGTAATAACCAGACCTGACTCTTACCTTTTAAGATCTAAGGCTATATCTACACTGCCACTTTCAGCACTAAAACTTTAGTCATTCAGGGGTGTGAAAAAACACCCGCAAGTGACAAAAGTTTTAGCACTGAAAAGCGCCAGTCTAGAAACCATTTTATCGCCGGGAACACAAAGCTACCACCCCTCGTTCACGGTGGTTATTTTTTATCACCAGGAGAGTTGTCCCCTGGTGATAAAGCGTGTCTGTGCTGCCCACGTCACAGCACTGCCGCAGTAGTGCTGCTGCAGCTGTGCTGTAATATGGGCAGTGTAGACATACCCTAAAATAGCGTGAGCTGTAATGCAGGCATCACACATATTCTTACCACCAACTAGAAGGTTAGGGTATTTAGTGACAGGTTTCAGAGTAGCAGCCGTGTTAGTCTGTATCTGCAAAAAGAACAGGAGTACTTGTGGCACCTTAGAGACTAACAAATAAATTTGTTAGTCTCTAAGGTGCCACAAGTACTCCTGTTTTTTTGAGGATATTTAGTGTTCAGCTAATTATGGCTCATTTTACAGAGGTACTTAAAACTGTTTCAGAGTTGTCCCTTTCCACAGTCCCATGCTCTCTGGATTGAGCTCCTAGTGGGGGAAAGAATCTTTAGGACCTGCCACCAACCTCAGCAAAAAATTGTACGTTTGCAAAGTGCACAGCTTCAGATTCTACTTTCCAAGATCTCTTCAATACCTGCTCTGCCTGATAAGAGATTTGAACATGCAGCTCCCACCTCTCAGGTGAGTGCTCTCCTCCCCTCTCATTTTGTGTGCAGTTCAGTGTGCTCTGAGAACACCTACCAGATTGGGCCATGCAGGCAAGACAGGCAAGGTAATGCCTAGTTTCACCTGGTGTGAGGATCCTGCTGGGGCTTCAGCATGAGATAGGCGCCTGGGCACCAAGACTGAGGCAGCCATGTACATGCCCAGAGGAAGAAACTTCAAGTCCCTGATGCACCTAATGGCAGAAATGTAGGCTCTGAGTGATTTTTAGGTGACTCCAGGGTTAGGTGGCAGCTTAGCAGGGGTTTTCAGTGGCACCTAAATTTTGGACTTAAGCACCTAAATTTCTTTGTGAATGTAGCCCTTGATGGCTAGATGGGTGGTATAAACCAGATTCAACTCTACTAGTAAACACTCCCATAAAACAGCACTCTTTTTCTGCTAAGCCACACCAACTTTCCAAGTTCCCCAGAGACATAGTAACTTTTCTTAGTAACTGCCAATTTGAGGTGATTGAGGTCAAAATAACACCAGTCTGCAATTTTTGAGAAGACATCTGCTTCAGAGATAAAATGTGCTATTTATTATGTATTTTGATGTGCTGAATTCAAATATGACAATTAAAACAACTGATTGGCTACTGTTTAAGATATTTAAGTTTTTACATTTTATGTCTATGTATATTGTGTAGATAGTAGAGTTTTAATCATAAATTGTAAACCTAGGTCTTTTCATGTGTTTATGGTTGCTTTACATGATAATATTTCACCTGTCCTGTTTATGTAAAACTCTAAAAATCAGCAAAAGGGTTATATAAATAAAATTTATTATGAAACAAAAGGCAAAAAACTATTATGTACATAGTTTAGTCCTATTCAGTGTCTACTCGGCGCTTCTTGGCTTGTCTCTTGTATCCAGCACATCAAAAT